ACAACAGAAAAATGTCAAGAAAAAAATGTATAACTTATCCAGTTTTCAACTGATTTTAATCAAATTGCTATATAGCCATTATATATTAAAAATAGAATGTTGTGTAAAATTTTATAAAAATCGGACTACTATATCGTATAGCTGCCATACAAACGATCGTTTAAAAAAGAAGAAATTGCTAAATAGTGATATAAAATGTATCGATTTTTCCAATGATCAATTTTCCCTAAATAGTTAAAAATGTAACATTTTTATCACCGACTTTGCCTACAAATCCTAGGATAATGAAAAAATCATATTTCACAAAAAAACATTTATATTTGAAACAATACAAACGAAACAAATGGGATATCATTTCAGGACATTTTAATGCCCAACACATTACTGCAATACTCGTAGACCACATAGCTAATGGATACCGCTGGCAGGACCTTGAGGAAATTGGGCATTATGCCACGATATAGCCCCATCAGACCCTCCTGATTGACAATTTTCCGAAATTGTCCCCGCATCGTCAATGGGATCTGTTTCTGTCGCCTCGCCTCCTGATTGGCAATCGTTTCGGCTGCCTGCGCCTGCAGCCGTGTCCTGACCAGGGCCAAAGGATAAGAGCAGAGTTGGCCCAAAGCACTCGATGTGCTCCCACAACCGAGGAGTACCAGAAAGCTGGGCGTCTCCTTGCTCTCATGACTGGCGGTATATCGTCGCTTCAGGGTCTCGTACAAAGCCAAATCGATGCCGGCATGCGGCAGGATACCAAGGATATTTGGCACATAACCGCGATAGAAACTTCGGACACCCTCCTGCCGATAGATTTTCGCGGCAGCATCTGCAATGCCAGTGTACTGACCAGTTTTCCTCAAAGCCAGACGAGTTTTCAATACCTCCATGGGATAAATGATGGTCTGAGAGATACCACCAGCCGCAGCGCCGGCACAGAAACGTTCCGTAATGCTCATCTGCCGACTGGTATCCTTGCCCCTTATCAGTTGTTTCATCTGCTCGTAAACCGCAAATTTCAATGCCGTCTCGGGGGCAATTTTCAAGACATTGATACCATTGCCACGCCACATGCTCCATGAGCCGCCCTCCTGGAGCATAATTCGAATACATTCTGTGATACGCATTCGTCGTGTTTGCACTTGTAGATACACCTTGATCCTGTCCAACGGTGCCGTGCATGTCCTTGACACGGCACCGGCTATCCCGCCGGCCACCAAGTGTCGCCACCAGAGTCCTGTCTTCAACTCATCCTGTGTGAAATCATCGGGTATTGACATATCCGAACCAATGTCCAGGTAAGTGGAATGTCGCCAAAATTGTATCAAATCACGAATATCTGAGGATGGAGTCAGAAGCATAAAGTCACGCCACTCATTGAAACTAATATTGAGGCTGCCATCCTTATCCATGCGTGTGAGCAGTGTCCTTGCCTCGTCCAGGTCAATGTCCAGTCCGAGATCCTTAAAGGCAGATATTAACACCTCCACATTCACCTGCCCATCACCGTTCTTATCCAGATGCGAGAATTGCAATATTAGATTCTTCTCATGCTCACGGACATAGTGCAGAAATTCGGCAAATCTCAGGCTTGTCCCAAAATCCAGATGCGGTTGCTGTTGCAGGAATTTGGTGGCATAGACACTGGGCAGGCCGTGGAGGTCATGCAGGGCAACCGATAGGTCATGGATATCGATCCTCCCATCACCATCACGATCCAGTTTCTTGAAAATTCGCTCCAGTCGCTCCTCATCCTTGATGGGTATTGCCGTGATTGATGGCTTTGCACCAAAATTGGCCACTGTGTAATAGGGTCTGGAGACGCGACGTCCATGCTGGAGACTGGAAATCCCAGAAGCTATCAGGAGGCAGCTCCTCCTCGAGTACAAGTTCAAGTCGAAAGGATGCTCCAGCTTCTGTTTTGGATCCTGCCGCTGGCTTTCTGTGTTTTCTTCAATTTTCACCCGCTTTTTAACCATTCTACAAACTCGTTTCCCTTTTTTAATCGCCGATAATTGAAAGCAGCTGAAGGATAACTCAAAGATTGTTTGGTTTTTGTTTATAAATTATAACAAACCAGAAAAGGAAACTAATCTTAGGAAAGGCAAAAGTTTATATTTCCTTGGAGTTTGCTAATCAATTTTAAGATCGAATTGAAAATCTATCATACCTTAAAATATTCGAATTTCTTCATTAAATATTTAATGACATTTTATAAGAGCATTTTGTTAAAAATTAAGATTTTAAAAACTCATAAGTGAGCGAAAAAGGCAGTAATTTCAATTCGGAAAACTGTCCTATGTTAGTTTTTATTAGGTTAATAAATCTGCATACTCAATTTAAAATTTTAAACAAATTCGAATTTTTTTCAAATTTTGTACACTTTTAACGATGTAAACCCTTATAAAACTTGTAAAAAATTTTCAAAAATTATTTTTCTCCCAGGCATGCCTAGATCGTTTCGCCAATTTATGCTGATTAAGAATATATATGATTTATAGGGTAGGAAATGACTCCTTCACCAGGTTTAAGCTTCTAACTGAAAAAAGGATATAATTACGTATACGTAATGCGTATACGTAATTTTTCAGACTATAAATGCCAGAAATAAAATGTACACGAAAAAGGAAGCTAACTTTGGCACTTCAAAGCTAAAAAATTATTGGATGAAAACGTAAATCGATCATAACTAAGCTTAAAATATTCTCATTATTTAATCAATATTTATTCATATTTTTAAAAGATAAATTTGTCAACAGAACAAAGCTTCAGAAACTCATAACTCAGACAAAAAACATTAAATTTAATTTGGAAAGAAATTCCATTCTAGTTTTTATGAAATTGATAAATCTACAAACTTAATAAAAAAAATTTTGTAAGTTTAAATTTTGGTCAATTTTTTAAACTTTTCAAAATTTTGAAAAAATTTGAAAATTATTTTTCTTCCGGAGATGGCTAAATAGATTTCTCTATTGATACTGATCAAGAATATATATAATTTATAGGGCCAAAAATGACTCCTTCCGAAATTATAAAATAATTACGTATACGTAATGCGTAAACGTAATTTTTTGAACTATGGAATGATAGAAATAAAATATAAACGAGAAAGGAAACTAACTTTGGCACTTTTGAGCTTATATAGACTTGCAGTTTGCAAAAGAATCGAATTGAAAATTGATTATAACTAAGCTTAAAATATTTTCATCAATATTTATACATATTTTTATGGCAATTTTGTCGACATATCAAAGCTTGAGAAACTCATAACTCAGTCAAAAAAGCATTAATTTCATTCGGAAAGAAGTTCCATGCCAGTTTTTATTTAATTAACAAATCTGCATACTCAATAAAAAATTTAAAAAAAAATTGAATTTTTATCAAATTTTTGGCAATTTTAACGATGTAACCCCTTAAAAAATTTTGAGAAAATGAAAAAAAAAATTTGTGTCGGAGATGTCTAAATCGATTCGCTTGTTGATGCTGATCCAGAATATATATGATTTATAGGGTCGGAAATGATTCCTTCACTAGGTTTTAAGCCTCTGTCCGAAATTACGTATACGTAATGCGTATACGTAATTTTTGGACTATTGATTGAAGAAATAAAATGTAAACGAAAAAGGAAGCTTATATACCCCTGCAGTTTTAAAAAGAATTATTGGATTTAATCGAAAATCGATCATAACTAATCATAAAATATTCTTATTCATTTAAAAAAATATTTATCCATATTTTGTATGACATTTTGTTGACAAAACAAAACTTGAGAAATTCATAACTTAGCCATTAGAGCATTAATTTTAAATTGGAAAGAAGTTCCATGCTAGTTTTTATCAACTTAATAAATCTGCATACTCAATTTAAAATTTAAAAAAATTAAAATTTTATGAATTCTAAAGCTATTTCACGCTCAATGAACCTCACCCCATAAAGTTTGTAAAGACTTCCCCAACTACAAGATGTTAAAACATTATAATTATTTAAAATATTAAAAAAATTATTTTAACTCAAATTTCTCAGGCCAAAATATTCATTTTTATAGATTTTTAGTGATGTTTTCCTCCCAAAAAAAAGCTAAAAATTATTCCAAAACCCGAAGATAGCTGTCTTTTAGATTTAAAAAATTGTTTCCCGCCCAGAAAAGCTACAAAATTATTCCAAAACCCGAAGATAGTTGTCTTTTAGATTTAAAAAATTGTTTCCCTCCCAGAAAAAGCTACAAAATTATTCCAAAACCCGAAGATATCTGCCTTTTAGATTTTAAGAATTGTTTTCCGCCCAGAAAAAGTTAAAAACAATGATTCCAAAACCCGAAAATAGCTGTCTTTTAGATTTAAAAAATTGTTTCCCGCCCAGAAAAAGCTACAAAATTATTTCAAAACCCGAAGATATCTGCCTTTTAGATTTTAAAAATTGTTTACCGCCCAGAAAAAGTTAAAAAAAATTATTCCAAAACCCGAAGACAGCTGTCTTTTAAATTTAAAAAATTGTTTTCCGCCCAGAAAAAGTTAAAAAATTATTTCAAAACCCAAAGATAGCTCCCCTTTAGGTTTAAAAAATTGTTTACCGCCCAGAAAAAGCTAAAATTCCAAAACCCGAAGATAGCTCCCCTTTAGGTTTAAAAAATTGTTTCCCGCCCAGAAAAAGCTACAAAATTATTCCAAAACCCGAAGATATCTGCCTTTTAGATTTTAAAAATTGTTTTCCGCCCAGAAAAAGCTAAAAAATGATTCCAAAACCCGAAGTTAGCTGTCTTTTAAGTTTAAAAAATTGTTTTCCACCCAGAAAAAGCTAAAAAATGATTCCAAAACCCGAAGATAGCTCCCCTTTAGGTTTAAAAAATTGCTATAGCAATAAGCTTGAAAGAAAATTAGCTTCTAAATCGAACGAAAGCTTGCAACAGCAACGTGTTGCAAGCGATGTTGCTGCTGCTGTTGCTGCTGCTGTTGCTGCTGTTGCTGCTGCGGGGCAACACGCAACATCAGATGGAGCGCAGCCTCAGCGAACGTTGGCGACAGTTGGCCCTTGGCACTCTCTTGGAATCCACGCTGCGGATTCAGAATTCCGGATTCCGGATCCGGATTTGGAACACTGAACAGCGGCAATCGACGCATCACCGGATTTCTCGGGGCAACGGAATTCCCCATTCAGTTCGTTTTCGGTTCCAAAAGTTTACACACTCTCTTTCTAACGTGTCTCGCTGCAGCAGCTTTTCTTTTGCGGGGAAAAATCAACAAAAACGGCATACCAAACGAAACAAAAAAAAAAAGCAATCAGCAAACAAAGTTGACAGTTGTGAAAAGGACTCACGGAAAATGAATGGAAAATCGGGTGAAAATTGGTGGCTACTATGGCCATTGCTGCTGCTGTCGCGTTGAATTTTCCCCCGAAAAGCTGTGTGTGTTTCTTGTTGTGTTTTTCGCCAGCAATTTTCCTTTACTATTACTACTTTTTTTTGTTAGTATTTTTAGTGCTTGCGTGCGGAATTTATATATATATTTTTTTGTTGGTGCCGAAAGTTAAACATTTTCACGTGAGATGTAAGTAGCAGAGGAGCAAAAGAGAGAAAGAGCCTTGAAAATAGTCAAACAAAAATAGGAAAAATAAAAGGAAATATAAAGGGAAAATCAATGCGCGTATGCGTCTGCCCCTCTGTGTGTGTATGTGTGTGTGTGTGTGTGTGTGTGTGAAGAGGAAAATCCATAAGGCGGCGCGTGAAGTGAAACTCAAACTCCAAACTCAAACTCAAACTCAAACTTGTCGTTTGCAAAATATAATTTATAATTTATACCAAAAGAGGAGTAAATTCTAGCAAAGTGTGTTGTGGTGTGTGTGTATTTGTGTGTGTTGGTGCAGTTTTCCTGTATTTTATTTTTGTTAATCTTTTTTTTTTTTTTGGCAACCACAAAGTGCCAAAAATTCGAACAACAAATTCAAAAGAAAAATCCACGGCCAGAAGATTTTGTAAACAAGCCAATTCGGCTGCCAAACACGGAAGCAGGGAGCCAAACAGCTGATCCGCACAGCAAAAAAAAACGCCCCCCCAAAAAAGAAAAGCGCCACCCCACACACACACACACACACACACACAAAGCAGAATACGAAGAAGGTGCTGCCAAAAACTATCTGTCGACACAATGCAGAAAACTTTTCCACACACACACAGAGAGGCAGCCACAGTGGTGAGAGTTGAAGAATGCACTTTTCCCCAAAAAGAAAATCAAAGAAAGGACAAAAGGAAACTTGAAAATAAATCTAAATATATATGGAAATTTTCCTAAGGTTTTTGGAGGCATTTATGAAACTTGAAGTAGCTTTATATGTTAAAAATAATTTATTTAGCCATTGATTTATAGATTTAATTGTTTCCATATATTTTAAAAATACATTTTCTAATAATAAATATGTAACGTTGAAACGATATTTTTATATAACAGTTTCTTCGATAAATTAAATATTTGAAAACTCATAACTATGCCAAAAAAGCATTAAATTTAATTCGGAAAGAAGTTCTGTGCTAGTTTTTTTAAGTTTGTTATATCTGCATACTCAATAAATTTTTTTTCAAAAATTAAAATTTTGGTAATTTTCTTGATAAAAATTTTGACATATAAAAATATGAAAAAATTAAAAATTTATTTTTTTCCCAGACATACTTAGATCGATTTGTCTGTTGATGCTGATCAAGAATATATATGAATTATAGGGTCGGAAATGACTTCTTCACAAAATTTCAAGCTTCTGACTAAAATTAAAACATCAAAATTTCCTAAAAATGCTACTTTCATAAGTTAATCTCCAAAACACAATATAAATATTGAAATTAAATAATTTCTTAGCAGATTCAATAAATATTTTAATTGTTTAATAAATATAGAGTACAGTTTTATACAAAAACATTAATATATTACAAGGTTTTGGAATATATATTTACTAAAAAATCAGATCAACAAGAAATATTTATAAAAATCGTTATTGCCATTTTCTTTATGTATTTTAAATGACAAAGAAAATGAAATCGTTACATTTTTTAGCTCCTTTTCTAAAAATTATTAATTATTTAATTAAATAACCCAAGTTCTATAGAAAAAGGAATATATTTTAAGGGGTTTAAATATTCATTAATGGCAACGTTCAATTATTTCATATATTTTGCACAGAATTAAAGCCACACTGTACTAGAACTTTTAAATTGATTATGTTTCCAATAATCTGTCACCTTTCTACACACTCACACACCCACACACATACACACAAACAGTGCAAGGACACTCGAATAGCAATAGCAAAGGAGCAGGACAAGCAGCAGTTGCAGTTGCACCAACAATATATATTTTTGCTGCCAGCGCCAAGTTCAAAATCAACGCCTGACAATGACAACAGTAACAGCAACAACAACAACAACACCAACAGCAGCAGCGGGAGCAGCATGGCGCCCAAAAAGCCCTAAAATACCAGCAACATCGATAGCAACACCAGCAACATTGCCTGTGGCAGCCACACCAATCAAATCGGCGGCCATAATAACACCAACAAATACACCAACAACAACAACAACAACAGGAGTAGAACTAGAAGCAGCAGCAGCAGCAGCAGCAACAAGGACACTGGCAGCGGCAACACCAACAACACCAATACCAAAAGCAATAACAATCAATGCGCTCGACACGACATGGCGACGTCAACTGGCAACACCAACAATGCAACAACAGCAACATAAATTGCTCTGGCAATTGCAGCAACCATTGCATTTGCAATGCCTGATGACGTCGATCCGTCTGCCATCGGACGCAATCAGCCGGCTCTTTTTGGCTATTTGCCTGCTGGGCTGCCTTAGCCCCTATACAGGTAATTATCATTATGCAGCTCAATTTTTAAAATTATAATAATAATAATAATAATTTTAATATAGTTTTTTTTTACTCACTTTGGGGGTCATCTTAAATAATGGTTGTTTTTCCTGGTATTTCATTTGTTGTTATTTCCATTCGCATCTGTTGTTTACTCCTTTTATTCACTATTATTTTTCACACTTTTTGCACAACTTTTTTTCACTGTGTTCTTGACTGTGATATTTATACTGTTCTTAACTCTATGAATCGCACTGTTATTTGATCTGCTCCTACCTCTGCTCTTCACTCTGTTATTTAGGTTCACCCTATTCTTCACTCTAATATTTGCTCTGATTTTTGCTGTATTCTTCGCTCTACATTTTCTAAACCTTGACTACCCTTTAGTTATTCCATTTATTTTGCACGGCCTTAAAGCCATACGATCTAGAATTTTCTAACTCTGCCCTGCCCTCTGCTCTTCACTCTGCCCTGCACTGTGATCTTCACCTTACTCGGCACTCTGCCCTCTGCTCTGCCCTCTGCTCGGCACTCTTCTCGGCGCTCTGCCCTGCCCTCTGCTCTTCACTTTGCCCTGCACTGTGATCTTCACCTTACTCGGCACTCTGCCCTCTGCTCTGCCCTCTGCTCTGTACTCTGCCCTGCACTCTTCCCTGCACTCTGCTCTGCACTGTGAACTTCACTCTGCTCTTCACTCTTCTCGGCGCTCTGCCCTGCACTCTGCCCTGCACTCTGCCCTGCACTCTGCCCTGCACTCTGCCCTGCACTCAGCCCTGCACTCTGCTCTGCCCTCTGCTCTGCACTCTGCCCTGCGCTCTTCCCTGCACTCTTCTCTTCACTCTGCTCTGCCCTCTGCTCTGCACTCTGCTCGTCGGCCTGCTCTTTACTCTGCTATACAGGTGCACTCAGTTTTTTCACTCTATTCTTGTCTATTCTTCACTCTATTCTTCACCCTACAAATCGGCATCCATGACTTCTTTTAGTTATTTCAATTATTTTGCGCAGTATTAAAGCCATACGTTCTAGAAACTTCTAACTCTGCTTGGCACACTGCTCGGCACCCTGCTCGGCACCCTGCAATACAGGTGCACTCAGTTTTTCACTCGCTCCTGCACTGTATATTTTACTTCGTTTTTCAGCCTCTTTTTAACTCTATTCTTCACTCTGTTACTTACCCTATTCTTCACTCTGTTATTTAACCTTTTCTTCACTCTGTTAAACATTCTATACCTTACTTTTTTATTAAATTTTCCCTGCAGTCTGATTATCACGTGTTTTTCGGATCACTTTATCACACAGCTACTGACGCCACTGACCACTCTTTTGTGAATAACTTAAAATGTTCGGTGATATATAACTCAAGCTTCCCTTAGCTTTCACGCTCTCTCTCCCCTCTCCTCTCTCCTCAACAGTCGAGAAGCTTCCGTTCAGCGATCCATGACCGTTTACAAGAACAAGAACAAGACATTGTAATATGGCATCAGAGATGAGCAAGAACCGCAAGAGAGCCGCGAATATCACTCACACGCTCTGTATGCCTTAAGCTTGGCTCCTTCCGTTATGTTCCCACGCCAGATCTGACTCAATTCTTCACTCCGTTAGAACCTCTAAGTTTCTCTTTGTTAGTTACTCTCTTGCTCACTCAGATCTTAATTGAAACTCGAAATTAAACGATTGAATAATACCCTGCAGGCGGGAGGGGCGCTTGGCATTCGCCCCATTGAAATCTGATGCCATTTTCATTTACATAGATTTACTCGTTAACGGAATTTCTTTGTTGGCACCTTAATCGAAGCGAATGACGCGATTATTCAGAATAACAATTGCGTCCCGTTGCGTTTTACACAAAACTTAATTTTGTTTAACCAATACACACACACACACGCACACACACTAGGGGGTAACTGTCAGAAGTTTGTCAGTGCCTGCCGTGGCTTTGATATTTCTTTCTACTATTTCTCCTATTTCTTCTATTTCTTCTATTTTTTTTTTGTTCGCAATTTGCATATATTGAAGGTTGCAAAACATACCGAAAGCCTACACAACCGCACTCCACTTGCAAAGGCGCCGGTGAGTCGGTTATAAATCTGCCTGATACAGTAAGGTCAGAATAAAAAGGAAATGTTTTTATGGAAAAATACTTGAAAAACCTCTAGCAAATACCAAGAAAAAATTAATTAAATTATATTATAAATTTTAATAATATAATAGAAAAAAATATAACAAAAATTCCTAGCGAGTGCTTACCGTACTTGGCTCACCTGCTACGGTGCTCAATCAAATTTGATGATTCTGTTTTCCTTTTATGTGCCAGCCAGAGTTGAGCCATAAACAATTGCCAGTAGAATGAGAAAAACTCTTGAGATTTTCCAACAACAACAAACAAAAATCAGTAAAAGGGTTAAAGCTGCACTTTCACAAAATAAAATTCTCGGAAGAAATTATTTCCATACCTCAAAGTCTTTTTAATAATTTCAAATTAAATCTTTGAATAAATAATTGTGAAACTATTTTTATTAAAGGAGTTTCATAGATATATTTTATTTACATATAACAATAAAGTTATTGTATTTTCCATGGAGCTGTTTTTGTTGGTTTTTTTTTTGGTTTTTAACCTTGACTTTGCACATGCAATGTTTAGCCCTGTTTTTCCCCCATTTTCCCCTGTTTTCCCCTATTTTTCCCTAGACCCTCATGATTGTTACACAAAATTTGAATGTTAGAACGAAGAATGGTGGAAGAATGGAAGCAGATTGGAACAAACTGGAACATGGGGCAAAGGCTCAAAGGGAGATGGAACGATTCGGTTTCCCCATTAATCTTGAGGCATTCTGTAGCATACTTATCGGCGCCTTGGGCTAATTAATTGCATGCTGCATTGATGTGCAGTGAGGCTTCCTAAATGAATACCAATTATTAGCATTGTTAAATATTTTTTACTTTATTTTTAATATGAATTTGTTTAAAAATATATATAAAAATATATTTAAAGTTGTAGAAAATAATTGGGTAACTGTATTTAATAATTTAGGACTTGTTTTCAAGTAAATTTCTTTTCCTTTTAGTAAATAAAACAAAGAAAAATAGGTACAGTATTTAACCACATATATAGGTATTTATTCATAACTCCTTTTGCTAGGTTCATTACCCTAATTAAAAGTCCTTGTACCCGTAGGTACTTTATAGTCCTACCTTAACGTTTTAAATTTCTTCAATTTCTCCATTCTTTTGATACATATTATCACCTATTTAAAACATGTTTGGCTTCAGTTTACACAACTCTATTGGCCAGTACTTTCTACCCTTCAAACAATTGAGTAACTTGGCTAAATTCCTGTACCCCCAGTTGACCGCATTAGCTTATATAAAGTGACCCCCCGTCGATCGATGGAAAGCGTTGCGTTACAGCTAATTACATTTTCATTTATATTTACATTTCCCTGCTCCTGTTTTTGTGTGTGTGTGTGTGTGTGTGTGTGTTTCGGTTCCGATAACGATACCCTATGATGATGATGATGTGATGGTGGTGCAATCAATCGAAGCTCAAGTGGCGACAAGAACTCAAGTGCCCAAGAAGAGCCATGTGATTACTGGCCAACAAACGATGCAATCGAGCCATCATCATCATCATTATTATCAGCATCATTATCAGCCGATGGACAATCTATTTGGGGGGCCTACAAGGACCAGAGTCAGGGCCAAGTCATGCCTGATGATGGGGCTCTCGAAGCCCCCTCTCGAAGCACTCATTATCGTATAAAATATGAATTAAATTGAACTTTGGCCAAAAACTGAGGCCGCCCTCATTCATGGAAAATCAATTTTTAATTTGGGATTATACAAAGCCTAGAAGTGGGAATATAATGTGGATAATAATTGACTTCCTTTTGGAGGCTATTAAATAATATAAATATAAGAATTTATGAATAAAAGGAGATATGAGTGCACTAGAATGGGTAATTTAAGGTGTTTACTCTATTATTTACTTTTTTGTTCATTTAGTTGTTCATTCCATTGTCTCAGTTGTTCATTCGGTTATTTATTCAGCTGTAAACTAAGGTGTTCATTCAGTAGTTCACTCAGTTGTTTATTTAGTTGTTTATTAAGTTGTTGTAGGCTTACGATGTTCTGTTCTATTTGTTCAATTTATGTTTCCTTATTGAAACTTTAAATCAACCAAAATGAATTAAAGTATCATATTTAATGCTTGGTTTCTAAGGAATTTACTAACTTTATATATAAAATATTTAAAAAATAAATATAAAATTAAATTAAAGGAGATTTAATAGCACTTAAAACAAACTCTATATAATTTCCCTTAGTTCCTCACACGTTTTGTGTGTGTTTCTAACTCTGCCAAGCTGCTCGGCTTACGACTTGGCCCATTACGCATACGACACGTTGACAGGCAAAAGACAAGAGACAAAAAGTACACACAAAGCGTACATTACATCAAGGGGGAGGGGAAAGGGGTGGTGTCACTACGACGTGACCGAGCTAATTACATTGCACCATGGCATTCAAAATGGTTTTATAATCTTTGCTTCCGTTGGCAATTCGCCGCCAAAACAAATGTCCACAAAATGTTTCAGCCTCACAAGCCTGGCCTGCCTGGCCTGCCTGCCTGGTTTTCTTCTTTACCATATTCCCCGCACTTGGCCAAGTCTCATTAGTGATGGCCAATACACAAGGAAGCTCAAGCCATCAAAATGCACAGAGAAAAATAAGTGTAGATTCTAAAAAGAAACTCTAGGATTTTTTCTATTATTATTTTATTTTGTACTCTTAAAAAATAGAAAACTAGAAAGGACACTAACTTTGGCAAGCCAAAGTAAAGTTTGCAATTAAATTATAGGATTGGAAATCGAATATAAATATTCGCATTCTTTGAATCAATATTTATCGATATTTTTATATAACAAATTATTCGAAAAATCAAAAATTTTCATAAATCATAGCTCAGCCAAAAATGCTTTAATTTTAAATCGGAAAAAGGTT